AACGACATCATATTCCATTTGTGTAGACCTTCACACATTTTAAACGTTGTTTTCCATTCATCCTCCGCTCGGATTCGAATATGATAGTACCCACTACATGAGTCCAATTTAGAAAAGATTGAGGAATCAAAAAGTTTATCAAACAGCTTAGATTGGGAATCTAAATTTTATAGTGATTTTATTGATAAATCAGTTGTCGACACACATTCTCCAACTTCCGTCCTTAGAGTAATGCAGGTACAACACAAGGGCTCAAGCTAGGCTGAATCAGTTGTTTGGACAAAAAGTCATCAGCCAATTTCTGCAAAATGACTTACTCCATATGACTCATCTTATAATGTTCAAGGTTAGGAAGGGTAGCTCCTGGTGTGAAGTCAATGTGACGTTGTAGGGTTCATAAAGGCGGCAATCCTGGAGGTAAATCATTGGGTGCCACATCAGCAAATTGCTCTAGTAAGTTCTGTAATTCAACAGACATGGATTTAAGATAACTTTTCGGGTTCAATTCTTGTATAACCAAATCTAGGAGGGCAAATGACTCTTTCTGGGATTGAAGAAGAGATGACCCAGACACAAATGTGCATCACAGCTTAACCAAATACCACATAGGTATTAGTTTCAATCAAGTGCGAGATGAGACGCAATCTCTTTCCTTTCCAATCAAACAAATAGGTATTCATACAACAATCATGAATTGCCCCAAAATCAAACTGTCATGGCCTACCCAAAATATAAGACGATAAACATCCATGTCAAGCACATCACAGAGAACTTCACAAATGTAATGTTGGTCAATAGAAAATGAAATTCGGTACTTCTCAGATATCATTATACCAAACCCTTTTTTGATCGAACTAATTTTGTAAAGGTTTGGATTTTTGGTATAATTGTATGTGCTTTTTCTAATTTTCCCTACCGCTAGGGTTTCCTCCGCTGCGTGCTTAGGTTTCTCCGGCAGGTCGGCCTCCCGCCCCGCTTCGCCCAATTTTCTTCGGGCATTCTTCATGTTGTTGGACTTTCTCTGGTTTGAGGGGAGTTTCTTTTACCTTTTTCTTAATTTTGCTGCCGCGCTTTGTTTCTTTTGGCCTAGGTGGTCGGAATGACCTCGAATAGGCTCTTGGATCCTGGTTTTTAAGATGGATCTAAGATGTATCATTCGTTTTTGGATGTTTTATATGGTAATGCGTTGGTCGTTCGTTTCTCGCCTCTCAAAATGAGCTCTTTCCGTGGTTTACCTGTTGTTTGGATCTCTGAGGAGGAGATCGCTTCTTTAGCCGCTCCTTTCCAGTTTGCTTTGGTGGGATTTTTTCCTTCTCACCACCCTAGTTTAGATTCTATCTGACGCTTTTTCTTTAACCTTAAGCTTCTCACCACCCTAGTTTTCGATTACCTTACTGGATACGTCTCATGTGTTGATTAAATTGTCTAATGACATAGATTATAGTAATATTCTTTGCCATCGTTTTTACCTGGTTTTCAATTGCTACATGAAAATCACTAAATGGTTGTCTACCCTTGATATTGGTATGGAATCACCAGTCATCCCCATATGGGTCTCCTTCCCTAACCTTCGGCCACATCTTTTTGCTCCCAAGATCCTTCATGTTTTGGGCTCTTTATTTGGCCGCCCCCCTTAAAATCAATTCGGCCACCTCTGTTGGCTCGCGGCCTTCACTGGCGCGTGTTCTGGTGGAATTGGATATTACGAAACTCTACTCTGATAAAGTTTGGAAGGGTTCTGAGCATTCGGGTTAATTCAACATGTGCAAATGGAGGTGTTTCCACCATTCTGTGAGGTTGTGTAAGGCCATTGGGCACAAACGGGGTGAATGTCGCTCTTCTCCTTATGTTCTCAATCATGTTTCTTCTTCGAAGCCTTCTATTACTGTTAAAAATGTTTATGTTTATGTGGAAAATGCTGATGATGGTGGTTTTGTGGATTTGGTTGCTCCTAAACCTTTGGGTCAGTCTATTGAAGGTGATGGCCCAATTGTTTTTTCCCCTTCACATGCGATTGAAGGTGTTGCGCGTAAGCCTGTTATTGAGCCTGCATCTACCTCTGAACTCTCCCCTGCTGACCCTGTGTCTGCTCATACTATTTGTGATTCACATGTTATTCCTATTACTAAATTAGCCCTTGTGGACTCTGTGGTTGGGTTTGAGTCTGTAGCCCAGGCCCCTAGGCTTTGTGTTAGTGCTGGTGGTGTTGTGAATTGTGATGTTAATTCAATCCATGTTTTGTCTTGTGCGAAATTTGTGCCTGCTTAGTGCGGTTTGTCTATGGCTGAGGTGCCTCCTGCGGTCGCTGAGCTGTCTGGTTCTTCTAATTCTCCTATTTTTGAGTCTCCTGGTTGTGATGACCCGTCCCCTATGAGCCCCGTTATTCAGGATGCTAGCTCCTCTTCAGTTAATTTAGCTATGGCTGAGGCGCCTGCTGTGCTCGATGATCAATTAGTTTTACATTCGTATGATGGGCGTGTGGGCAATGTTAACTTTGTCAATATTCCTATTTCGATCATGTCTAATAGTGAGTTGAAAAAGCATGTGGCTAAATCTGCGAAAAACTCTGTTTTGGTTCAAAATGATTGGTTGATTTTAGAGGACTCACTCTCTTCCCCTTCTAGTGAGGATGAAACTGACTTTCATCATGTCGAGCAAGACCGTCCTGTTATTCGTGGTGTTTCAATTTAAAAATGGTAATAAGCAATGAAGGAAAGGCAAAAAGATATATGGTCTGTGATTTGGCTCGCACGTTTTCGTCGATGGTTTTTGGCGGTTTTCTGGACGATGAGGAGGAGGCCCCTACTGCCCCTTCGTGGCTAAGCTAGTCAACAACCGGGGTGCCTCGGTGTTGGATGGATTGCAATCGTTTACTACCACCTATGGATGATCTGTGCATGGCTGCTAGGCTGGTGCTGGGGGCCTCCATTCTTGAGTCCCCTTTCGTTGATTATTTTGCTCTGTTTGGTTGTTTTGGGTCACTACTGTTTGTATCCAAGGATGTTGGTCTGATGACTTTGTACCCCTTCTTTTTTTCTTAATAAAAATTTTTTGTTAAATAAAGGTTTGGATTTTTGGTGGTTTGAAGCTATAAAACATGCACTACTAAGCAAGAAATAATATTCTTAGTACAACTACTATCGATAATAAGTTCACAAACTTCACCCTTGATCATACATCGTGTCTTGAATAATGCGTTTCACTGAGAGCAGTTGGGTTGCCTTGGTGCCAATAACAACTTTTCCATTACACAAACAAGTGTTTCGCCATCATCACCAATAATATCTTCAATTATTGGTTCATTATCCACTTCAATAGCAAGGGTTTCATTTTTGCCTGCAGCTTCCATTAGTTTGAGTTGTTGTCAAGTATGACATTCATTAAATTTATGACCTAGTTGGAAGCATCTAAAAATTTTAAGGTAGTGAGTTTTGAATATGAACTATCCCGCATAGGAGCTTTCCCTTTGGATTGAAGTTTAAGATCAAATGATCAATAATCGAATTTTTTGTTGGATGGTAGGATTGTTGACATTGAAGGGGATGTCTGGGTTTGGCAGTAGGAATTCCACTCTTATGAGTATTTGAATCCATTTCATTGAATTGTAAACTATTAGAACTACGGGAATGACGAGAACTGGGTCTCGACCTTTAAAGCAAAATTTACAGCCTTTAATGGAACCAAACAGAGTTCAATTCAAGCTTATCCTGTAGGGCTTCTCTGAGACTGCTGATATACCTAGCTACAAGTTTGTTGGGGAATTCGTTGAGGTTATTTTGAGCACTCAACCGATAGAGTTCTTCAGTGTATTCATTCAATGTGTGGCTTCCTTGGCTGCAATTTTGGCAACACAAGTACAACTTCTATTTATAATTAGTACTTACCAACTATCGACTGCACCTTTTCCTTCCTGTCGTCGTGACTGAAGCAATTGAACCCACCAAGCACTTGCACCTCCCTTCAAACGACAGGTCACATATTTAACCTATTTTAATGGAGCAATTTTCATGTACTAAAAAAATGTTTCAATAACTCGCTCCTAGTCAAGATAGTCTTCGATATGCAGTTGGACGTCGAAAAATGGGATGTCTAACTTGGCTTGAATTCATGGTGATTATGATTGTACATGTGAGGTCTGCGATGCTGATAGTTCTCCCTAGGATGTTTCTTAGCATCATAATCAATTAGTTCACCAAATTGGTCAGAAAAGGTAATTTCATCTTCAGAGTTCGAGATTTCTACAACAAAATGGGAGGCCCATCTCACATTATAATCTGTAATGTGACCACGTTGAGTAGCCAGTATGGTTGTTCCTACTACAGTGTGGTTAACTAGACGTGTCCCCAAATGCACCTTTAGATACTAGAGCACGTTGCACATTTCGACAATAAAACGAAAGAATTCAGAAGTTAATTCCTCGATTTGATGTGTAACCTTCATCTAAGATGACCACAAGGCATCTAAGTTACGATCATCTTTGCCAGTTGCCCTTTTGCTGCAATCTATCATGTTTCGAGAGCCTAAGCTCTGATACCAACTAATGGAGGTAATCATAGAATGTAGGTAAAGCAGGGAAAGATAAAGAATAGAACAGTAAGCTGGTAATTCAGTAATATTCTCTGTAATTCCTCCATAAGTAATACTTCTTATATATTTTCTATGGTTGTATTCAGCTAATGCTAAAGAAATAAAAACAGAAGGTAGTGATAGAAAGTATTTTATAATGGTAGAAGTAATAAAGCAATAAACTAGTAATGGTATTGCAAGCAAAATGAGAAATGGACGTATGCTGCTCCCTTGGGTCTTTACATGCTCCGCATCAGAATATCCCTGTTCCCACCCACACAGAATGTAAAATTGATGGAAAATTAGAAAAAAATAATTGTTTCCTTCATTAATTCTTAGCTTATTAATCTGTACTCATAACACTGAACTAAATTTCGAGAAAACTCATTTGAGCTAAGTTTAGAGAAGACCGATCTCGAAAAAGTTAAGCATACCTTCATCTCTTCATCCAAAGGTATATAAGCCATTTCCTTGCAAGGATCAAACAAGCTGTATTTTGCACTTTTACTGAAAATATTCTGTAGTGCACCAACATAAACAGCTGCAAGAAGAGGAGTCATGCCAACTTGTGCCAATAAAGGGACAAGTGGCTCGCCAAACAAAATTAGAGAGAAGAAACCAACTCCAGTGAGCAGCAAAACTGTAGGTGTAATCATGGCTGCAACACCCCATCCAAATTTTCTAAGTATCACTCTTCCCAGCAGCATCATTGTAAAAGTTGCAATGCCGGTAGCGGTGGAGAAATCACCCATGAATGATGAGTACTCATTAGGGCTGGGGAACTGCCAATTTATATCAAGAATAAATTTAATAGATTCATACATAAATGATATATTTTTTTAAAAAAAGGAGGATTAAATGATATATTACCTGTGCCTTAAGCTTTGATTTCCATGTTACTTCAACAAGATTGATGCTAATACCATATGCTACAACCAAAGTGGCCAGATCCCTCACATATCTAGAAGAGATCAGAACTTTCAAGCTCTCTCCCATACCTAGCTTGGGCTTTTCCTGAGAAGAGTATAAATATTAAACAATAAAAAATGTATTTAGACAGAAAACCATTAAAAAAACATTTTTTTTTCATGGAGCTTACCTTCTTTTTGCGCTCGGTTCTAGGAACAGAAGGATCATTGACAATAAACCTATTCACGCCCCAGTAGATTCCACAGATCACAAAACCAAGAAGAACTACAATGCTCATCATTCCTTTAAGAGATATTGCCCAACCATCAACACCAGGGCCCAATGTTTTCCTCAGGTTGGAGAAGTACTTCACAGTCCGACCAGAGAAAATAAGAGCTATATTAGCTCCAAGGCCAAATAAAGGATAGAATTCTTTGGCTTCCTCAACAGTAGTAATCTGTGAGATACAGGAGAAAATATATCATGTTCAGAAAGCTACTACATTTGATTGCTCGTTTTTACAATTCTGAGTTGTTTTCTAACAAGGAGCCGCATCATAGTAACACCAAAATAAGTCGGAGTGACACTTCCACTTCAGAACTGCACTTAAGCAAGGGACAACAGTGGACAAAAGAACTCATAAAAAAGTTTCCCAGAAGGTGTCATTGCGAGTCCCTTGCCATTTCGAAAGAATATGATTTGTAGGTTTAAGTCAATGTCACTCGATCGCACACCTCCTCGTTAATGTGATTGTAGGTCAACTTGATCAGTTTAGTCAATGCCTTCAACTGCTACAAGCGAAGTGATAATGAATTACCATTTTTGAAAGCAATAAGTGACGTGTGGGAGACTGTAGGCTCCAAGTCTTAGGAATCTAACATTTCTTGTTGGAAGTGATTCAAAAAGCAGTAGAGTTACTCATTAGGCTTCTATCTTTTGTTCAACAATAACTAAGAATTATTCAATGGCCTATGAACACGGAGAAACTTAATGAATTGTCATAAAGGAGGTAATGCTTCTTGAAGGAAGACGAGCACCAGCATAGTGGCGACTTCTAAAAAGTGGTCAAATAGGAGAACACTTCATAACAAAGTGGTGAATCGATCAAGTATAGCTTTTCCCTGCAAGAATCCTAACATATTGAATTTATGTTGCAACTAAGCCTCTGTGATTTTTGCTAAAAAATCATTCATAACTTGGGTCTGGAGCTTTGTTGGGCAATAAGAGAGAAAATTCTTTGTGGTACTCTCCTTTGAGAAATAAGGCTCACCATTAAAATAAATTGGAACAACAACTATGGGGATAGCTTTAGCTTTAGGGCTGATGTGAAGTCTGTCATAGAGAGATAGCTTATTCAAGCTTTAGAGAGAATGAACAAGAGAAGCGACATGAGGAAAGTGTTTGCATATCCATTTGATCATCCTTGTAAGATGATATTTCATTTTTTATAATTACTCAAAGTTCACATGGTGGCTAGCTCAATCATTGTGGAAGAACCTTTCCATGTCTTCATGACCTCTATAATATTGTTCTTTGTTTTCAACATATTCATGCTCACCACATCTAAAGAGATGTTGGATCTATTGATATCCATGTAAATATACAAAGATCTACTAGAGATATAGATCAAGCCCAAAGGGTAGAAGAGAAGAGAGAGAGATATTGAGCCTCAATGATCCTTTAGTGAATTGATCAATAGAAATTCTAGTTGAACCCCTTATACAAAGAAGGGCAAGTTGAGCCAAGTTACAAAGATGACAAAGAGAAATTCTAAGGAAGACTATAGTGGAATAAAGTTTCATTGATCGCACGATGCATTTGCTCGAGTGGTGAACCCCTATAAAAATGTAAGGTCTAGATTTGTTTGTCTAAAATTGGCTACATAGTTTGATATGGAAAACACATGGCTTGAAATATACATATACATACCTAGGTATATAGCAGGTGAGTTAGATGTACATAGATGGCTGCTAATGAGGAACTTTTAGCGAGTTTTAGATGGCGGACGAGTCCTCTTGGTGAGTTCTTCTAGCGAGAACCCCTAATCAGATGACGATTAGGCTACTAACAAACTTTGTAAATCCTTGAGCGAATTCAATAGCTCGGTATTGAGGGTAGAGTAAAGCTGCTTCTTAAGTGACTTGGCAAGATTTCATTAAGAACGACTAAAGACTTCAAGCAACTTAAAGCATAGCAAGCTTTGAGCTATATGAGGTTTAAATTGGTTCATAATTAACAACTTATTGAACCTAATTCAGGCTCCCATAGAGACTTGATTAACCAAGCCAAAACCAATATGGATACACAACAATAGAATCAGAATGATTAAAAAAAAGGATTAAAAACTCATAAGTAACCTGAAACCAACTCTCCTAAGCAATGAAACAAAAAAAATAAAAAATTTCCAATAGAACAGCAACAATAAACGATACTGACGTTTTAAAAAAAAAAGTTAAAAATGTGCAATAGCTGAAAAATGTAAAAGATCCAACCAGTACAGCTTCAAACGGGAAGAACACATCACCTGATTCGCAAATCCCCAGAACAGAACCGAGATGACCACGCTCCCCCAAAGCTCAGCCATCACATAGAACAAGCAAAAACTCCAAATCCTCAGAATAGCCACCGGACCAAGGAAGCTCGGCCCGAGGGCAGCCAGAAGCTTATCAGCAAGAGCCGTGGGATGGATAACATTATTCAAGGGATAAAAGATGAAACCAAATGCTCCAAAGAAAGCGATGAAAGGAAGCAGAACCGTGTAGAAAAGAGCCTCCTTTGACAAAACATTAGAAAGCTTGGTGTACAATAACATGAATCCAACCGCCATAGGCAGATTAACCCATGTCTTGAGAAAGGGGATAATCTCCGCACTGCTCCCCTTCGCCGTCACCACCAACACATCCTTTGTATCCCTCAGAATAGTATAGTTGAAAAGGATGCAAAAGAACATGAGACCGAGTGGGACAATCTTCTTTAAAGTCGTGGTCTCGACTCCCAGAAACTTGGGTTTGGTCTTCTCCAAAGAAGGACTCGTAAACCCAGCTCCGTCCGCCGGAACTGCAGCTCCGGGCGTAACGTCACTCATCCGAACCCCATCTCGAGCTCTCCGTACAGAGTCGGAAAAGAGCAAGCTTTCCGATAGATTCCACGAGTTCAGCGTTTTGGAACCAAACCCATGACGTATTTCGACGGGGTTTTGGGCTCTAACCGATATCGACGGCGGGAGAGCGGAGGTAGGGCGGGAGCTTCGGCGGTATAGGCGAGCGCCAAGAGAGCGGAGGGGGTGAAAGGCGCGAGCTTGGGGATTGGAGGGGAGAGAGAGAAGGCCTCTGCTCTGGATAACCCCTTCCATGGCTTCTCTCTCCCCAAAGGTTTTGGATTGGGAAGCTGCAACTCCCAATAAGGGAAAGAAAAAGCGGATTTGCCGGGCAAGAAGGTAAACGGGAGAGCGATGTGAATCCGCCGAAATTGATATTTGTATTAAATGAACGGTGGATTTTTACAGTAAGATATTTCAAGGAAGGAGATTGTGAGGCATGTGAATTTGGTAAGGGCGTGATGGATATACGACAAAGCTAAACTCACGCGCATGGCTGCTTGCTATTGATTCAAAAAGTATACAAAATTTAAATGATATATTAGTCTGAATGCGTGATTAAAAATGAGTAGATTACGCGCATTTTCCTAACGTGTGCTGGGATATACAGAGAGATAGTATCAGATGAAAAGAAAGAACGGTTTCAAACGTGCCACGTTGCCAAGAGAGATTATTTTGGTAATCAAGCCCGTCCCCTATGAGACGTTCACCGGAAACTAAAAGGAATTTGCCAATTTGCCACGCATGAAACACTAGTATTTTTAAGAATAAATATTCCTCAGAGATTATAAAAAAAAAAAACGTTTTCAATGCCACGCCCTACGCGTATGATATCATTAGAAAAAATGTTATATAAATACTAAATACTGATGCTTTAAGAGGTTATTTAGTTGTAAGAAAAGTGAATTTAAAAATATTGTTAATGTTTTACTTTTTTCACTTTTTAGTGTTTGGTTGATTGAGAAAAGTAAAGCAAATATATGATGTATTCGTAACTCCCTGTATTAGATTATTTTTTTTAGTAAAGTAAAACCGCTCAAAATCGAGCGAAAAAAGAATTCCTCATGCGAGAGAGAGCAGCCCACGGAACAAATCTCTGTTCCTTCCTCCTCTGGTGGAAATCATCGGCAGGGTATCCAAGAGTAGAGACCTCAACCTTGCTACCTTCCACACGTGAAATCACGCCACGCCACCGGTAGATTTACCTCGCCCGAACATATGGCTAATTCAAGGAGGAGGTGGAGATCGGGAATAGGCCCGGAAAGTATGCAGTGAGAGGGAGATGAGTGGGTGGGGAAGATGCGGATAATTTGTGATCTTCCCAGTTGTGATCAAGCCATTGATTAGCATGAAGATTCGACTCCGCCATTGTTGTTTGACTTCGCACGCAGGAAGATCCACACAATAGTTGGCGGCCTGGATGGGGCTTGCCTGATTAAAGCGGTTGCATGAATGAGATGCTATATTATTGCTCAGAGGTATGCCTTTTCACTTCCGATCAACTCAATGTTTGTGATATGCTTGATTTGGCCACTTCGTGGAAGAACCTGGAGTCGCAAGATGGTTGGACAACCTTGTGTAGAAACCTGGAGTGTAAGACTTGTCTTTTATGTTTGATTTTTATGAAAATGTGAAATCGGATGGTGATCAATTGGAGACTTCTGTAATGCCCTAGAATCAAATATGAAATAATTATACATTTTATATTCTTATTTAATCAACTAAAAGCTTCTATAAATCATCAAAATAATAAATTTATCTATCCACTGAAAGCAATTAACAATCATATACATCAAAATAATTTATTATATTCCAAAATTAGCATACAATAGTCACGAGATCAGTGCAATTAATATTTTATCACAAACTCCTGACTACAAAAGAATAAGAAAAAATATAAACAAAATCAAAAGAAAATATGAGAATCTCTATCAATCTCACTCAACTAGTCTTGACTCCTTCCCTAAGCCATAAATCATAAAAATTCACATAATGAGCATAATAGGCTAACTGTCCAACAAGTAACCAAAACTCTATCACTATTTTCAATGTAAGGCAAAAGAATCAATATTTATGCTCAATCCTAGCCAATATACATCATCACTTAATATGAGCAATAAAAAATTTTAATAATCAATAATAAAATTAATATGATTAGTAAAATTAAAAGAGATATATCAAAATATAAGAAAAATAAAAAATAGGACTATCACCCAATTGGTCATGCTAATATGATATGTTATATCAATATTAATGCAAATATGATTTTAGTTATATCTATCTATAATTCTATATATCAACCAGTTCAATACACTAACATGTAAATATTGTAATTATGTAAAGCAAGGAAAAACATTGAGCTTGAATATTGTGGTTTTTTTATTTCTATATGTTATTTATAAATCTATTTATATGTTATTCTCAGCTTATCTTTCATTTATTTTCACATATGACTTTCAATAATAATTTAAGAGTCGTCACATTCTACCAGTAAGAGTAATTCAATCAATCGATTACAAGCTACAGTTAGGATTATGTCAACCTTTTATTTAAAAGAAAGCTCGTCGGCTCACCCTCATACATATAATATTATATTTTAAAACCCAATTCATATTAATTATAGTGTTAACAACTAGCATCTTTCTTACATGCAAATGTTACGTTTTCTAATGAATTGTAAGTCAATATTATATATGAAATATAATAATCATAAAATGCGGGGAAATCTATCAAATATATCTATTATGCATTTAGTCATAGCTTCTAATTTAATCGGTCAAAGTTCAATATTCTAATCAAAATGTTCACATTGACGACATCAATCACACACCAAATTTTATGTTGTGAAAATTAGTTAAAAATCAAAATATTACAACTTTTATAAGTTTTGATCGAATAAAAATTGCATAGAATATAAAATACATAAAATAATTGAAATCAGAGATAATTCATTACAAAGAGATGAGTTTTTATAATTAAAACATAATAATATCTATTCTATAACAAATATGGTTTGTAATTTAAATTTATAATGACTTCTAAAAAAATTTATTTATCTGTGTCAAAAAATGGGCTTTTACAATCTCCCCAACTTAAAAAAATATCACCGTCGGCGACATTTTCACGCACAACAATAATCAAACAAATCAATAAAATAACGTAAATTCAATAAAATAAATCAATACAATTGAAAACAAAAAAATCCATTTAAATTTGTTTAAAATCAATACTGATCACTTACTTATCATTCATTACATTCAATCAATCATGAATTTATTCAAGCAATCATACTCACATATATCATTCAATCACTCAATATACCATGCAATTATTATCAATCAATAAATTTAAATGCAATTATAAATATATGAATTAAAATTTTACATGTGGATCCTCGAGGTGCATCTCTATTACTCTTTTGGATCAGATTGTAAGCTCTAGGTGGCAGTGTTAGTGTAGCTGAATGTGAAGGTCTTCTTTGACTTTCAACCACTCTTCTTCCATCTATTTTGCTCATAAACCCTTCATTGTATTCTCTATATCTCATAATCCTTCATATATAGTCTTGCTTGGCTTGCTCCCATCTGAATCCAGATCATGTCCCTTGTCATTGTAGTAGACAATCAATCATATGGTGTCCTCGCAACCAACATATAAAGTATTGTCCAGTTGCCCAAAAATACGATCCATTGTCTCTTACCACATCGAGCACACTTTAGTACACTCCCCACACTGAACTTAAATTCAGATCCTCTCATGTTGTCTGAAAATCAACCCCTCTTTTTACTGCTCTCTCTCCAAGTTATGTCATCTCCCAATCTCGTCTTGCTCATCATGTGAGAAAAGTGAAATAGCCAAGTCATTCTCCACCAGCCTTGCTCTCTCAACCAGCTCCAAGAACTCCTAAATCCTCAGCGGTACAGTAGATGTCTCAATTCATCTTGCAGTCCTCTCAGGAATTTATAACATTTCTCATCTACTGTAAGGATCAATTATGGTGTGAACCTTGACAGTGCGGTGAATTTGGCTTCATATTACATCATTGTTTCATCCCCCTACTCCAATTTCATGAATTTGGCTTCATATTACATCATTGTTTCATCCCCCTACGAACCAATCTCTAAAAACAACAACAAACTCTACCCAAGAAATCTCCGCACTCATTTAACCTGAAATTTCTCCCGCTATTATCATATCCGTTATCTCTATGCTTCTCCTTTAAATAGGAACACTGCAAGTGATCTTTTTCAATTCTCTGGGCACTACATATTGTTATAAATAAGAGATCAAATGATACATATAATAGCTTATTATCTTGACTTCTCTACTTTCTAGTAATAAGAAATCATAAAGCTTATTCCTTACTGCTTACCAATTTCTTTCTCTCTCTTATTTTCATAGGCAATGTCATTAGAAAGATCCAAATATTGTCCACAAACAAATCTAAATTCAATAATGGTTATTTTAATACTAAAAAAAAAACTACCTCATCGCCTAGGAGAACATTTGTAACCCAAATTGAAAGGTGGTATAAGGATTCCATATTTACATATGCTCAACAAGTCTTGCAAGGCTATGAACATTTGGAGTTATCTTACAACTCCATATAGTAGAAGGCTTGAACTAGCTCTTTGAAGCACCAATGCATTACTCTATATGTAAATACAATACAAAAACAAGGAGAAGATTGAATCCATAAATTATAAAAACTAACTCAAGCAACAATTCAAAATTTATAGTATACACCCATTCTAGAAAAGGTCTAAGGATTGAACCAACTCTTGATTTTATTATAAATAACTTATAACATCAGCATTGTTTTTGTAAACTAATTTATTATAATTTTAAGTAGATGTTCCTCTTTCTTTTTTTTTAGAAAATATCAGAATTTGATTCTTAACATGACACAATGGAGAAAAATAATTCATATATTCGACCCCACATAGTGGGATAAAGGCTTGATGTTATTGTTCTTGTAGAAAAAACCAAAATTTCATTTCCATTACTTTAATTATAGCATGGGAGGTTTATTTACAGGCTTGTCCAAGTGAAAAGGAAGAAGGCCGATTGTCTAAAATAAGAATAATCTAGTTTACAAAAATAACCCCAAATTTATAGGTTTATTTCAAATAAAATCATGAGTTTGTTCAATTCTTAGACCTTTCTTTAGACCGAGTGTACACTATAGACTTTGAATTATTGCCTTCAACTAGTTCTTCTTATTTGTGGATCTAATATCATCCTTATTTTTTTATTGTATTTGCATCCAAAGTAATATATTGAGGCTTAACACTTCTTATTTTTTTAAGGTATTATTGGTATTGTTTCTAAAATTAAATCAAACCTTTCCTAAACTTCTCTATATTTTGCTATTTGGGATGTCTTGCTTTAAAGAGTGGTCTTAATTTTCTTAAATGCAATCTTCTTATTAAATCTCAAAGCTCACCTTAACAGACATACCATTGAAATACTAATCACCTTTGTTTCAACTTGCACCTTCTACTCCCATCTTATGAGAAGTTTCTCACCATTTGGGCATACCTTTCTCCTCAGCCCTACCTTATCTGAAGTATTTCACTACATTGATTCTTGTATTTGGTGCTGCAAGTTAAAATTACTACCAACTACCTTTATCTCTAGTTTGCAATATTTGAAAGAAATGAAATGATAGATTGTTTTGGAATGTCATTTCCAGCTCCATCACTATTCCACAAAGACTGATATATATACACACAACACTAATATAGTCTGGTTAGCCTAGGCCTATAATAAAGTCTAAGGTCGCCTAGTAGACATGGAGGTAAAGGAGTCTAGCAAGCCAAAGATCCAAGGCTGAGTGAAGTCACAAGCCTCAGTGCAGATGAGGTCCAAAGAAAGCAAAAAGGAGTTAATATGGTTCCTGAAACAGTAAAAACAAGTCAAATTTTCATCTAGTAAAAATCAGAGCCACGACCAAAAGACAGCAAACATTGCCTGCATACCTCCCCTAAGAATAAGAGCAAACAATCAAAGATGATACAACACTATCAAAGAGGGAAGATAAGAAGATACTTTTACTGTAAAAAACTGCTCCATAGATTTTTCGTAACAAAAGAGAATTACATGATGCTATTGTCACAAAAATGTTCAAGCAACAGCTGCATTACATAACTTTGCACAACGCAGTCTTGCAATATATGCTATACAAATAATTCAATCGAAAGAATTCTCCAAGGGTTCGCATGATTGCCATTAAGAATGAATTCACCAACAAATTACCAAACATTGAACAAGAAAACTTACTATACTAAGTGAACTTCCTGTCATGAGACAAGGCTTCAAGATTAAAGTGAACTTCCTGTCACCACAGCAAAGTTGCTCACAACCTCTAGCCAATCAGAGACAAAAGCAGTGTAAAGTATTCAAAGCAACTCACCCACCTACTCCTACACAAATGCCGAACAGACATTCAATATAATAACTCGCCTAACTGCTCAGCTCTAGAAGCCAAACAGGCACATTCATTCGAAGTATTCAACATAACAATTAGCCAAGACTTTGTAGAGAAAGATGAAGTCAGCCAATGGCTTCACTCGAGCCCACCCCGTATCTGCAAAGTCCTAAATGCATATTTAGAATTCTCAGTAGGCGCAACTAGTATATCTTTATTTTATGGAAATCCTTCATAAGGCTATATTATATAGATTATGTATTTTCTTTAAATATAACTTTTACTATAGATGTAGCTGACCCAATATAATGGGATAAAGGCTTGTTGTTGTTGTATAAATTTTACTATAGAGCTATTATATTACCCCCACTTATAAAAAGAGATCAAAGGACAAATCTAATAGTTAATTATCACGAAATCCCTCAGCCCTACCTTATCTCAAGTTATTCCACTACATTGGTTCTTATAATGTTGGTGCTGCAAGTTAAAATTACTACCACTTTATGTCTAGTTTGCAATAATTGGAAGAAATGAAATGATAGATTGTTTTGGAGTCATTTCTAGCTCTACTATTATTCCACAAAGAGTGATATATAAACACACACTAATATAGTTTGTTAGCCTAGGCCTATAACAAAGTCTAAGGTCGTCTAGTAGGGCATGGAGTGAATGGGGTGTCTAGCAAGACAGAGATCCAAGGCTGAGTGAAGTCACAAGCCTCGGTGCAGGTTTAGTAAAACAAAAATGTGGTCCAAAGAAAGCAAAAATGACTTAATCTAGTTCCTGAAATAGTAAAAAAAGTCAAAATTTCATCTGGTAAAAATCAGAGCCATGACCAAAAGGTGGCAAAAATTGCTAACATACCTCCCTAAGAATAAGAGCAAAACAATCAAAGATGATACAATACTAGCAAAAAGGGAAGAAAATATACTTTTACTGTAAAAAACTGCTCCATAGATTTTTCATAACAAAAGAATTACAAGATGCTATTGTCAGAAAAATGATTAAGAAACCCTATCACAACAACACATAGCTAAATAACATAGATACAGAGTTCATACAACAGAATCCTTACGGGAGATGCCCAAATTTTGATTCTCATCATCAGAATCACTGTTTCCAGACACAAAATTTACTAGTTTGGCAGAAGCAGAGTCACTATGTGCTGAAGAAACCATCTTACTAGTAACTGATTGCTGATAAAGAACCCCTCCTACAAGAGTGAAAAGTAGGCAAGCTAAACCAAATGGAGTCGCATGTTTATCCCATATGAAGACGTTGATTGCAACTGTAAGAAACTTATTGACAACACCTGTAACTGTAAAAGCTGTAGCAGATATAGCTTTTCTCGCCGCAAAACCAAAGAAGCTGATAAGAAATCCAAACACACAGGACAAACTGACTGCAAGAAAAGCGCCAAAATCAAACCAATAGGCCTTCTTCGATCCAACAGCAGTAAACACATCAGCATATTCTCCAGTCATCAACCAGAATAAAGGTGACATCATCAACGATAATAGATTATTGTAAAAAACAAAGCCCCATGTGTTCAGGCCTAGGTTTGTGACGATATGCTTTATGTAAACCATCTCCGATGTGATTGTGATTAAGTAAGCTAAAGCCCATGAATAAGCAGTGAGGGTGAAAGCTGAATCAGTCATCACATACCCAACAGCGCCACCCAGTATAATCACCAAAGATAAAAATGTGAGTTTGGAAGGGCATGGCTGGTTTCTGAAAGCAGTGTCAGCAATAGCCACCAATAGTGGTGTCAAAGATCGAAAAACTATAAAAGTGTCCACATTAGCATGCCGAAGAAGATTGGTGTTTGTGAAAATAGCAAGATAGAAGACAATGGCAGCAGGTAAGAACTTTTTAGCGGTTTCTAAGTTAAAAGGATCATGGTAGAGAAATCCCAGTTTTCCAATAATCCAGACACCAGCAGCAGAAGTAAGGTACTGTAATGCGGTCAAAAGGCCAGGATAATCAAACTTGGTGATGGCAAATTTGTTGATGACGGCGAGCAAGCTTGAACACAGAGAATAACTCACAACAAGACTACTGGTCGCATAGTATTGCTTAGCCGCTTCAACTTTGATGACCGACATGGTTTAGCACTCCACCAAGCCTGCAAAATTTGTACTTTTTTCTCAAATTGGCCAAATGCACTCACTCAAACAAAGCTGCAACGAAGGTTACAAGAAGTTCCATGGACGAAGAAATTACCACCACCTTTTGAGAATCACCAAAAAGGAGAAAAACAGAGCTGCAAGATAGATGTATTTAATACTGGATTCAAATACCTGAAATTTCAGAACCGCCCTTCGATCTGCTAGATTAGGCCGGAATGCGGCTCAAAAACAAAATATTTCTTGTCGAAAATGCCTTGGACGCAGAAGCTGATAATAAAGGAATCGAAGCCCTAGTGTGGGTCGACTTGAATAAGATCAAACTAAGCAAGGTGAAGAACAAGGGACCACCGCCAAAAAAAACAAAGCTCCAAAACGGTCAAATCATCACCCTCGATCCGCCAACAAAGCGCGCCGGCGGCGAGGGATGACGAGAAAAGCAAAAAAGAAATGATTTCGTTTACCACCGGAAACCTCCGGTGCTATACACCGTCCGAAGCCCCATTTAAACGAGAAATTATTTCGCACACGGGCTTCGAGCATAGGAGAAAAGGAAGAACTATGTAGGCGGCATCACCGTCCGTTTGATTAATCAAGCGTTGCCGATAGCGGTCCGATTTGGTGCAGAGCAATATGAGATTACTAAAATAGCCTCGACAATCATATAATCGGAAGAATGCGAGGGTACATACGTCAATTAGGTGAAAATAATCGTGGCGGGAAGAGGCTATTTATCACAGTATTTTATGCTACAGCACTATATAACTGTATGATATTTTTATGAATAAGACGCGGTTAAGAAAACTAAATTAAATTAGAATAAAACAATTGCAAAATTTTTAATATTAATAAAAACTAACTTGCTTAAGAAAATGATTGAAATGTCTTTATTGATTAGATAAATTATTAGATATGATTTTAATAGTGTTTTTCTTAATTATTATATTATATTTAAATTTTTTAAAACTATTTTTTAATAATAAATATGTTGCATGTCTGACCAGCGACGTGACAAGCACTCAAACGATCTAGAGGTGTACCAGCATAATGTTAAATATAAACAATCCTCTACAAGATTGTTTGGATTTTTATCTGTAAATTGAATTCAGTGATGTCACGTGTTAATTTATACTTTCTTTTGGTTAGTTGCGGACAGATGTCATTCAGTGGTAGATGCCCCGGGTTTACCCAAAAAAAAGAAAATGGATGGGATCTACCTTTGTGTCGGTGGTAAACTAACAACCAGCTTTTTTTAATTTTCCTTTTTTTAATTATTACTGAAATTTAGGTCAAGCAAACTCGAGCTATATATATATAATCTTAATCAGACACGAATCTCGAAGAAAAATTAAGTGACAAGCTTCCAAAATTAAATCTAAGATCATCTGAACTCCGATTATGACAAACTTATAGTCAAACTGAACGTCTAAAAAATACAAACCCAACGACACCAAATTCGATTCAATCCGAGCCCAAATGAGTCCAAATCAATGACTCAAAGTGCATTTGGAAGGTTCAAATCATAATTCAAATTACCAAACACTTTTCAAACATGACATGCTTAAAGTCGAATCAAGCGGCTTGACGAAACGAATCCAACAAGCCTAAGATCATTGAATTCTGATATCATTAAGGAATTCAAATGACCATTAAACTGTCCATGATCAGGGGGATCAATATCGGCCGTCCATTCCAACCACTCCCATTTTGACCTTGATCATCCACATATTTACAAGCCAAGCCACTCTCAAAAAACTATAAATAGCCCCCACTCTTCTCATGAGGGGGGAAGAAGAAAAGGAATGGAGGAGTTTGGGAGCTCTCTTGCCACCGACCACCGCCGAAACTCTTCCCGACCACCGCCGAGATTCCTCCTTACCACTGTCGGAGTTCATGCCGACCATCGCCGGAGTTCCTCTCGAACACCATCAGAGTTTGTGCCGACCACCGTCGAAGTTGATGCCAACCACCGCCAGACTTCCATTAGTCCGTCAACCACCATCTGACTTCCGCCAGTCCGCTGACCACCGCTAGAGTTCCTCCCGATCACCGCTAGAGTTCTTCCCAACCACCGACAGGCTTCTTCATGTCCGCTGACCACCGTCGGACCTCCACCAGTCCACCAACCACCACTGAAGTTCTTCCCAACCATCGTCGGACTTCTACCTGTCTGCGACCACCATCGGACTTCCGCCAGTCAGCCGACCTCCATCGCTTGCCGACTAGGGTCCTTCCACCTGACGTCATCCTGCCGACTATAGTCATTCCAACCTTCACCACGGAAGTTCCCGTCCGGACTGTGAGTGTTCACACACAATTTGAACCAAATTGTATACAAAAATTATACACAGTGGGTACACTTATAATCCAGACATAAACTTTTTGTTTGGACTCCGCACGGAATAATTTATCCTCAAAAAGAGGAAGGGTTCATCAAATCAAAAGTATAAATATTTTAGAAAGCGAGTTCCAAGAAAATCCCAATGATAGAAATTTGGCCAAAAAAAATGCATGATAAACCCTTATATCACATCTTATTTCTATGTTCGAAAAATATACAATTTTAATATTACATCGAGAAGAACAAAACATTTGTCTTCATCTGAGACAAGTTGGAATAAGGCAGCAACCACGAAGGTTAGACAAATAGCGCTCCATATAAACCACCCATAATCAGCTACCAGTACACCATTAAGCCTTCTCCACGAACGTCTACTTGATCAGCTTCTTCAGCTGAAGCCATGAAAGATAGCTTCAATGCAAATCCCAGGCCCCACTTCGTCATCGTCCCTCTAATGGCTCAAGGCCATATGATCCCCGCAGTCGACATGGCTCGTCTCCTCGCCGATGGAGGTGCCACCATCAGCTTCATCACCACCCCGATCAACGCCGCCCGCATCCGCCCCATCATAGACAGAATCCACAACTCCGCTCTCCCGATCCGCTTCATCGAACTCCGTTTCCCCTCCGCCGAAGCTGGCATCCCCGAAGACTGCGAAAATTTCGATCTCATCACATCGGAGAATCTCCTCAAACCATTCGTCGAAGCCCTGCCTTTACTCTGTCCTCAGCTCGAGAGTTATCTCCAGCAAAGCTCGACGCCGAAGCCCGATTGCATCATCGCTGATAACTGGCATTATTGGACGGTGGAGGTGGCGAGGAAATTCGGGATTCCTCGATTGGTCTTTCACGGGCAATCTTGCTTTTCTATCTACTGCTCTACTGTGTTGAGGAGGAGGAAGATGTTGGATGAGATTGAGGATGATTTTCAGGTTTTCGAGTTGCCGGAGATGCCGGAGAAGATAGAGGTGATGAAGGCGCAAGTGAGGAGATGGGTGGATTCGCCGGACGGTTATAATATTAGGCAAATGTTTTACGCCGGCGAGGCGGCGGCGGATGGGATTGTTATCAATACGTTTGATGAGCTGGAGCCCTGGTACATAGACAGCTACAGAAAGAAGGCTATCGGGAAAAAGGTTTTGTTGGTTTTTTAATTCCACATAATTTTCGTTTGATTCTTGTGTAAACAAAAGATTAATTATTTATTTAGCTAAGTAATTAATTAATTAGGTTTGGACAATTGGGCCGCTATCTCTGTACAACAAGCACGTAGAGGACAGGGCAAGCAGAGGAAAACCCTCTTCCATCGACGGCGGGGTTCTCCTCCAGTGGCTGAACGGAAAAACCAGCAACTCCGTCATTCTCGTCAGCTTCGGCAGCATATCCCGCAACGCCTTCCCTCAAATCATCGAGATCGGTTACGCTCTCGAAGCATCCAAAATACCCTTCATCTGGGTTGTGAAGGAGGCCGATTCTGCCGCTGCCGCCGCCGTCGGCGACATCGAAACCGACAAGTGGATGTCGGAGTTCGAGGAGAGGACGAGATTGACTGGGCTCGTGATCAGAGGATGGGCGCCTCAATCGGTGATTTTATCACACGAGGCGGTGGGGGGATTCATGACGCACTGTGGGTGGAACTCGACGCTGGAGGCCATAGCGGCAGGGGTGCCGATGGTGACTTGGCCGAGGTTTGGGGATCAGTTTCTGAACGAGAGGATGGTGGTGGATGTGCTGAAAGTGGGTGTTGCGGTGGGGGTGAAGTTGCCGCCGACGAAGGTGGTGATGGCGGCGGGGGAGAAAGGGCTGAGAGTGGTAAGGAGGGAGGAAGTCGAGGAGGCGGTGAGGAAGTTGATGGGACGAGGGGAGGAAGCGGAGGAGAGGAGGAAGAGGGTGAGGGAGTTTGGGGTTATGGCTTCGAAGGCTATGGAAGATGGCGGTTCTTCCTTTCACAATTTGAAGGACCTTATCAACTTCGCGGCCTCCCATAGTACTTAACTTGATGGGGATTTGTCTAGCTAAGTATTTTCTTTAAAATTAATCGTGGTTATTATTATTTTCTTAAATTAATATAGGTTTAATAATCTATCTTTAAAATAAAAAAAAAAACTAATCATTATAAAAAAAATGCATCTGCTTATGCTTATGAATGAAAGGTAACCTGTTGTCTTTATTTTGAGTGTATAATTTAACAATATTTGAATAAGTTCTAAGAAAACATTAGTCAATCTACAGTGAAGAACTGCTTATAAACGAAAATATTCAATTATCATAATTACAAATGCGTATATAGGCTTTTTTTTTGTTAGGGGATATTTAGGTCAATTAAGGCAGACTCATACACACATTACATACATCAGACTCGAATCCAAGACCTCTTAATTAATAGCTTAAGCTCCCAACTAACAGATCAAAATAAGATGTGTTATATATATAGGCTTCCATAGGTAAGCATTACACTTGAAAGGTGCTTTGCGATATACTAGAAATGGAGGTGGCAGCACAATCTATGACGGGAGGGCCAATACTTATTCATTTGGTTGGAAATGGAGAAAGCTGAGATTACTTTCTCAAGATACTAGAAGTAGTGATAAAGGCAATGAGGCTAAGGCTGCAATGCATGTGGTACCCGGATCCACACTTCTACCCACGCCCATATGCTACAGAAGCAAAGTTAGCTGATCTCCTCAAAAAGCTTCAAGATGTGGTATCAAAAACATTGACGGTAACTCTACCGCCCTTACATGTATTACAACATCAAATTGACTTTGTTCCGGGGGTGACCGTTCCTAATCTTTCTCATTATAATCTGAGTCCGATAGTACATCAGATTCTCCAACAAATCGTAGAGGAGCTCTTGGAGAAAAATCTTATCCATACGAGTCTTAGTCCTTGTGCAGTTTCAGCTTTACTTGTGCCGAAGAAGAACAACAATTGTCGAATGTGTGTGGACAGACAGGCCATTAACAAAATAACTGTGAAGTTTTGTTTTCTACTGCATAGAGTGGAGTTATTGGAAAGATTATCAAGAGCCATTGTATTTTCAAAGTTGGATCTCCATAGCGAATATCATCAAATCTAGATTTGTCCTGGGGATGTGTGGAAAACTGCGTTTAAGACGCGTTAGGGGTTGTATGAATGGAAAGTAATGCCCTTTAGGCTATGCAATGCACCATCCACTTTTATGAGATTAATAAACGAAGTCCTTAAACCCTTTCTTAATCAGTTATGTGTGGCCTATTTCGACGATATCCTCGTTTATAGCTCTTCATTGGATGATCACCTCTAAGTCAACTATCACACATTCACTCGACATTGAGATGAAACCAGTTGTACCTAAACACATCCAAGTGCGAGTTTGCCGCGCCACAAGTCCATTTCTTGGGTTTTATCATATCTTCCAAGGGAGTCCGTGCTGACCCTAAAAAATTAACTGCTATTACTTTGTGACCAGTCCCAAAATCGTTCTTTGATCTGCGTAGTTTTTATGGCCTTGCAAATTTCTATCGTTGAAGTCATTAAGGCTACCATGTCTTCGGCTCCCATACTCACTCTCCCGAACTTTGAAAAGTCATTTCACGCTGACACGAATACGTTGGCAATCGACATAGGGGCTGTTTTGAGTCAAGAAAATCGGCCAGTAGAATTCTTCAACGAAAAATTGTGCCTCGCCCACCAAAGGTGGATTGTCTATGACCAGGAGTTATATGATGTCATGAGGGCCTTGAAACAGTGGGAGCACTCTCTATTGCACCAATACTTCATCCTTTATAGCGATCACAAGGCGTTGCAGTATATCAATAATAAAAAGCACATCAACTGGATGCATGCCAGGTGGATTTTGTTCTTACAAAAATTTTCATTTGTTTTAAAACATAAAACAGGTGCCCAAAACATCGTCGTCGACTCTCTGAATCGACGACTAGCTCTCCTCACTCAATTGCATACAAAGATGACCGGATTGGAGTGCTTAAGGGAGCTTTATGCAATAGATGCCTACTTCATACCCATTTGGGAGGCTTGCCATTAGAACTCTTTTTCTCCGAAATTCGTCATAAGACATGGGTATCTATTTAAACACAATTTATTGTATATCCCAGACTCCTCATGGTGGCCACAATTGATCAAGGAAGCTCATTGTGCAGATTGTACACACGCAGTGGCCGAAATAACACCTATGCACAACTACAATCCATACTTTTTTGGCCATATTTAAGAAGGGATGTCATGTGATTCGTGGAACGCTGCCAGTGTGCTAAGCTTACAGGGGCGGCAGACAAAATACTAGGTTATTCCTCCCCCTGTCGGTGCCGGACACCATCTGGGGGGATTTGAGTATAGATTTTATACTGGGCCCTACCTTGTACTAAACACGGGAACAATTCCGTCATGGTTGTGGTTGATTGGTTCTCCAAAATGGCTCACTTCATTGCATGTAAGAAGACATTTGACGCACTTAACATTGCATTTCTATTTTTCAATGGGATTGTTTGCCTCAATGAAATTCCTGTAGCCTCACTTCTAATCGTGATGTTAAGTTCATTAGCCATTTTTGGAGGGAGTTGTGGAAACGATTGCACATAGACATTAAACTAGGCTCAGCCTACCACCCTCAAACTGATGGGCAAACATAAGTAGTAAATCGAACTCTTTGCAATATTCTTCGATGTTTAGTTCATGAGCATCCTGAGGTTTGGGACGACCTTCTCGGGCAAGCGGAATTTGCTTACAACATTATGTCAAACCAATCCATAGGAAAAAGCCCATTTGGCATTGTCTACACCATGTAGACGAACCACACAATAGATGTGGCAGTACTTCCCAAGTGCAACAAAAAAGTAGCTTCGGTACTAGTGGAGCAGTTTTCTTCCATACTTGTACATATTCGCAACAAGCTAATTGAGTCTAACAATAAGTACAAACAAGCAGCAGACAAGCACCGACGTGAGAAACTCTACAGTCCAGGTGACTTAATCATGGTACGCCTGAGGCGTAAACGATTTGCTCCCAGAACCTATTCTAACTTGAGCCGCTGACAAACCGGTCATGTTCCTATCCTCAGGCGAATCAATGCCAACGCCTACGTTGTTGATTTGTCACCTGAACTTAATACTTCATCCGCTTTTAATGTCGCAGACATGTTCGCATACCACCCACCCACTAGATGAAGCAAAAACCAACATTTCATCATCCGAGTAGGATTCTTCAGTTACTGGCACCGCATCATACCCATTCTATCCTTTTTATTAGTTATTGCTTTTGACTTACCGTTAGGATTAGTGCCACTTTAGTTTCTATTTACAGTTCTGTAGGACATTTATTTACCTTTTGCATGGTATGGCTATTTTTAGCAAGAGAATGCGTCTCTTCATGGTTTATCTTCTTCCCAGGAAGGGGAGCAAGTTCGTTTTTCAATATACTTACTACAGTTATCTCCGTTACCTATTTGACTTGTGTTTTGTGCTTTTGCCACCCGCTTCTTCCACAGATTACCACATCACATATACATATATAGGCTTCCATAGGATCTTCTTATATAATCATCTCATTCTACATATACGTAATAATTTTTCCTTGAACTCCATAATCTTATCCCCATTGAATTGTTTTGCCTTCTTGCTCCTTATAATACTTCTCAATTATAATTAGAGAGAGAGTAAAAAAAAAAGAGAGAGTAAGTAGGAGGGAATAGAAAGCCTATAAGAATTTTGAGTTCTGAGATAAATACTTCATTAATAATGAAAATTCATTACAAAGAAACCCCTATTTAGAGCCATAAATATCCTGATTAAAATAATGAAGAAAATGTGCTCAACTTATCATATAAGTGACATAGCTTAATTATATGATGATTAGTCAATCCTATCTAAAAATTATCCTTGGTCAAGGTTTGATCACATGCGATCGATACCTTGATATATATTCTTGCTTTCTATAACTCGACTTTGGCTTTGTTTGGGACGGCTTTCTTACTGATTCTTAAAGCATCTTTTTAATATAAAAATTTAATTTTAAAACTAGAAATTTGTTTTACAAGATAATAAAAAAGCCGTCACAAACGAAACTTTCACTGTAAGATTGCTAATAACCGGAGATAGAATGTTAATTGGAATAAGGATAAGTTCCCCCTCCCACATTAGATGCACAAACAATAAATATCACATACCAAAACTATAGTTTAGATTTTATTAGATAAAGAATTGACATATGATCCCTGCTGGGTGATCTTTGCCTTGAACATATATTTAAAGGGAACCATAATATTCATTGAACATACATTTTTAAATGAACAAAATGACATTTTTAAGCCTATTGAAAAAATTTTCACAGGCCTGAACACTATTTTCAAATATGAGACTATACACAAAGCAATATAAACAACTATCGACCTTGGAAGAATCTATCATCATTTTATCTAAATGAGTGAATTATCCTGATGGTAATTAGAGCATCAATAGGCAACACCACCAAGAAACACATCCCTATCATGAAGTAGGCTCTCAGTTAGCCAGTAACCATCCCAACATCCACCAATCCTCTGTTAATAAGTAGCCTTTTAGTTCATTCAATGTGGTTTGGAGGTAAATAGCAATGGATCAGGATAGAAAGGCAAACCTGAATCATTGTAAACTGGAAGGTTTCTTCTTCCTCGGGCCGTGAGCCTTGCACCAAAACTCTCTGTTTAAACTGATCCTATAACATGATCATCAGCAAAAGAAAACTTCTGTTATTCATAGTTGAAAGACTGTAGGCAAGCAATAATATAAGACTAGTAAACAAGCGAATCATATTACACTATAAAACCATATTGAGCAGGCATAGTTTCATTGCAATACCTCTTTCACCCACAAACTGCTTAGAATCTTGTGTTCCTTGTGGCAAAGAAGAACTCGGTAAGTGGAATGGTGAAATAATCTTCTGAATCGCTCAAACTGCAAGAAAACTGTATCGGATCACAAAAAAATACAAAAGAGCAGAATTAATAAACTGGCCTATCAGGCTATCATAGCCATTGAGGTGTTTGGTATCCTATTTTATACAAGATTTAAGGAGAAATAGAAATTTGGTGACTCAAAGTTTACTATTTTGATAAATCTCATGTCAACCCTACTGTTATTAATTAAATTCAGGATTTGCTGAGTGCCGCCATTCATAAATCTTAAATCCAAAGCCAAATAAGAAACAATTTCTCATGATTTAATAAGATATAACAATTGTCCTGTCAAATAACTTTCAGGTTTTGATCTCTCAAGATTTACTAAATCTAGCTTAAGTAAAGATTTACTAATCATGCTTGTAGCGAAACAGCCTCATTGTATATCAAGGTTCTTTTCAACCAAACAATGAGATACTTACTAACCTGCCCAAGATCAAAAAATGGCCCAAAATAGGTTGATCTTTCAAAGGGATCAAATCCAGCAAACTGAGGATAAAAACTAGTTAGATTTTGAAGACTGAACTATGCCGAGCTTTCAGTAGAAAACAGTACCCTGTACATGACTTCTATCCCATAGTCTTGACGAGGTTGATCATTGTATTTCAATGCATCTAGCTGACACTGAACTGCTTCTTCAGCGCTAAACTGAAAATAATGAACAAAACCAATTACTACACTAAAAATTAACAATGTAAGTAGGAACTTATTCTTCAGAGAATTACATCCAGCTTAGGGCCAAAAGGTCTTTTCTTGCGAGATTCAAGCCTGTAAAAACATGGCAGCTGAGTTATATTGCCAATATTAAAAGATGTTAAAATATTTCCAAACCTTCAAAATAAATTTCGTTGGTGCAAACCCCCTGCACAACAGATGAACCTTACCAAAAAATAAATAGGCATCAAAATCACACCTTGAACAAATGTTGTGCTGAAGAAAAGGTAATTAGGTTATCTTGGCTCAAAAAATAGAAACGCAGAATTTTTTTCACAGTTTTCAGTAATATAAAAATAAGAATTCGGCTATTGTGCTGAATATGCTAGTAAAAGAAATGTTCTTCAAATATACCAAAAAGTTGATGGCGAAGAGAATTAATGGAGGAAAATATCAAAAACTTAAAAGACGATTGAACATGGAAAACCATCGCGTGAAACACACCATTCAGAAGAGAAGAAATCAGGAGTTGGAGAAGTAGAAGAAGCCCTGAAACGAGCGTGAGGTTTCGCCCGGAAGCCTACGACGGGCTTTGGGAACGGGTATACTAGGGATGAGATTGCCATCGTCTCCCCTCAATTTCTTGACTCTCTTCTCCAATCTCCTTATGGCTTTATCCCCTCAACCTTTAATTTTCGGAGCATTAAGCATTTGCGATTCTTTAAAAAAATAAAAAATGAAAATATTTTTATTTATGTATGTCACTGTTAAATTTTAAAGGCTTTGAGAATATTAGTTGTTGGTTTAAAAGTAAATAAATATAATTTAAATTTTTGATGCATTTGAAATTTGCCATCTAGATTATTTTTTGTGTATTTAGATATGCTCCAATTTGGTCAAGCTCCAAATACATCGAAATTTCATTATAATTGTTGTTGCTCGCCGACTCCTTGGATGTTGTAGGCCACCGCTTGCCATCGCCTACAACCCCCGACCGTTGCTAACCACCGTCCCCTACTACCGGCTACGACCGACCGCCACTGCCACTTGTCGTTGTATATCATGCCGCCCACCACCACTAATTACCGTGTCATGCCCCATAATCTAAATTCGAAAAAAAAAAATTTATATATCCATTATTTAACTATTCAACAAGAGCTTACAAAATTCATAGAAATATCATAAAGCATAGTTACATTTATATTCATCAATATTTATAATTCAACACAAACCAAAAATAAAATATATACAATATTCATGGTGCACAATGAACTAGCTTGTCTCAATGAATGTATCACTATAAAAAGTAAAGGCTGATAGGTGTCAACAACTTAGACCATCCTCAAAATTTCTTACCACCCTTATCTAAAAATAAAATTATATAATAAGCATAAAAGTCTAACAAACACCAATATCTACAGTTGAAATCAATACACAATATAAAACAGTCATATCATATCAGATAAAATAGTCATTTATAGTCAATTACATATCATTCATCATATTTTATCATATCAATAGTGTAACATTGTTATTTCAGTATGACAACTTATCATTCATGTTCCTAATGTCATTCAATTAGTTACAATCACTGTTATCAACTGCTAGTCAACAATTGTCACTTGCAAGGCTAGACCATCAGCTTCAATGTGGTATTTTGCATCCTTTCATCAATCATTTATTAATCTTACCATTAAAATTTTATATCATTAATCATCACTATTATCATAACATGTGGTTTTCAATAATCTTAAAGAATCATCGCTCTCTACCTGTCGATGTTATTGATCATTATTTACATGCTACAATCGGGATAACGCCACAAATTATCTTTAAAGGAAACCCCGTCAGCCCACCCTCATGTATAAGATATTATCCTTTTAAGAGACAACCCATATTATTTATAGTGTTAACAACCAATATTTTTTGTTTATATGAAATTACCGCATGTATCATGCATTAGTGTATCTTTAATTTTCAACATAGCTACATTATGTGAGGTATTAGCTATTTTGACATGTCTTAGCTAAACCTTATGATTTTACTAATACGCGGTACAGCTTCATAAGAGATCACATGTCCCATCGAGTAGTTCGAGTCTATTTTTAAATTAAATGTATGATTGTGAAGCATCAATATGACTAGAATTATTTCAAAAGATTTTAAAGTTTATTTTAGCTATGTGTGGAATCTGATTGTGTCGATTGATCAGGATATATTGCTGTCTTGGAACTCAATTTCATCGGTTGAGCTCACCAGGGGCTTTTAGGGGGTCCTCCCCAGCACAGGTTCAGTTGCAACATGCAGCACTGTGGTGTTATGCACCCGAGCGCTATTGTGCTATATAATTTGCTTGAAAGTTGACAGACGTTTCAGCACTACCCAGAGCACTATGGTGCTGTCATACATACTAGAATCAAAGAGTTAAGTGTCATGCGCTCCAAACTTGACGCCGCAACACTGCAAGATGGGTTGATAGATTTCTTTCTCATTTTTGATTAAAGGATGCATCCCTAGGTGGTTAATTGAGTTTCGTTTTGTTTGTTCTTGTTTGTGAATTGTGCAAGGTTGTAGAGAGACAAGGGGGGGGGGGGGGAGAGAGGGGGGGAGAGGGAGAGGGAGAGAGAGAGAGAGAGAGAGAGAGAGAGAGAGAGAGAGAGAGAGAGAGAGAGAAAATTATACTATTTTTCTCAATTTTCATAGTGGATTTCTTGGTGTAGTGTGGCTTTGTGATTTTTTTCCTGATTTCAATTTTCCACGTGAAATTTGATGCTTTTTCTTTCAAGTGTATTTAATCTTTTTTTATTTGTGTTCGTTGTGTGTTTTATCTCCCCAACACTTAAGTCGCTTAATTACCCCCTATGAAGACGATAACTCAAGTCGCTTAATTAGCCCCTATGAAGACCATAGCTCCATTAGAATTCTCTCATCCATTTACATTGATGAAAAAGGCCGTCTGTGTTTGTTTTCGTGTGTTTATGAGGGAATTGTATTATTTTATCAACTCATCTTTGTCGATATCGTGTGAAGAAAAATAAAAACCATCCTGTATTCATATAATTCTCATATTAGCTCATATTTAAGAATTAAAGCTTCTCAGTATCAAAAGCATTTGTGCTTGCCTACGATGAAAGGGAGAAACCATCATAACTACTACGTAGCTCTAATAATCTCAAATCATATGTGCTTGCCCTTTTTCTTTTTCTTCTTCTCACCCGACCTCCCGATACAGAAAATAGAAAACTGAAGCTATGTCATGGGCCTTAGCGGGGCAACAAAAACTTTAAACAGGCCTGGTTCCTTCCATCACGCAATTCTTCTACAAGCCCAAAATAGGAGATCCACTCTCCACAGCCAAGGCCCAAAGAATTGATGGCATCCATTCAGGCTCTGTTTCGTTTCAATGAATTAAAAGTTTGGTTTCAACGAATCAAAAGCATTAATGATAAGTTTTATATGATTATCAATATAATTGAAATGTCGATATCTACAATGAATTCAGCCTAATAAATAATCAAAGATATTTAAGTTAATCCCAAAAGTTAAAACTTAAAAAGGAAAATGATTCCACACATTAGAAAGTAGTATTTAATTATCTTTTCTATCAATATGGTGGAGACATATACGTGAGGCATGGGCCTCCTCTTTCAATTGATGTTTATCACATGGTATTAAATTATTTAATATCTTAAAAATGAATGAAAAATTAGAAAAAAAAATCATGAAATCTAAGACAATTGAAATTATTCTATTAGAAATGATGTCTTCCTTCGTTATTGGTGAAGTTGTTTATATAATATAATAGATAGATAATGCATAAAAGGGCTATATGACTTGAGAGTTATTTTTAATAGATCGCTTAGTGTTTATTTTGTTCTTCTTCTTTGAGGAGAAATTAGAGACTAAGAAATCTAACTAACGTGAAGAGTCAAACTGAGCATCCACATGTGAATCAATTTTTTGGGCAATAGCAGTTGTGAAGCATTAAAGGATGATGATGGCGATGGTTAAGAAACAATATTTGGGCAATGATGATCACATGATGATGGTTTTAAGACAATGGTGGAGCTACGACCATTCGGCATCAATAAATACTAACATTGATCATTAGTGTCGATCATTGGATAGCGTTGTGGAACTCTTTAGATTTTTAACACTCTTTCATTTTAGGCCGCTTTAATGTGATGAATGAAAGACTATTTATAATTTCCTTCATTATCATTTTGATTATTTCAATTTAAAGCTCTCAAATACTCTATTGGCTAACCCGTATTGATTTCCTCGATCATAAATAAATTTTTCAACTTTTAAGTGCCTTAAAAAGTTTGTTCTTTCAAAAATATGTCACGAAGTTCTATTTACTGTTAAAGATCATGATTATTCTCATACAAGTTCTAATCGAAGGAGCTGTATTTTAAATATTGTATAAAAATGAAGTCCTATATTATGTTTAAGCAATCTCCCATTATCTTTTTTATTTTTTTAATAAATTAAGAGCAAGTAAGCACAAATTTAAAATTAAATTTGTATTAAAATAATTATAAAATTATAATGGGAAAAATTAAATTTTCAAAAATTGTTATAAAAAATAGTATTCAAAGGTAAAAAAAATCTAAAAAAGATACTTGATAAAATAATAATCAAATAAAATTATACTTATGAATCCCAAATAAATTGCAAAATCACTCGGTGGAGGTAAATAACTCGGGAATCTGATTAGATTTATTTATTATAAGAGTGCTTTTTGTTTTAACGCTACCTTCAAAGTATATAAAGTTAATCTAAAATTTTTTCAAAGAATTTATTTGGTACTTTCATAGCAGCTCCAAAAATTAATGATGAAGGTCGTTCCAAATTGACCTGTATATAATCTGTTCAAATATTACGTGGCCAAAAAAAAAAATTTTTGATTCTATTATATAATTATTTTGGCTGACGACGACAATAAAATCCTAATGAAGATAAGTGCCAAGAACTGTTGGTCGACAAAAATAATTTTTAATTGATTTAAAATTTATTATTTATAATTAAGGGTACAGGCTGCCGTCAACTGTCCAACATTGAAGGCCGAAATTAGATGGCCGCTACAGGGACTCTAATAAATCACTTGCTGGCATCTATTATTAATTTAGTTATTTTTATCTAATTTTAATTTGAAAAATTAAAAATAATCTTTTTTTTAAAACTTATATAATTAAGAAGTAATAATAAATTTCTATCTTATGAATATATATACATAATTGAAGAAAAATGGAAACTAATAAAATTATTCGAGTGAAATGTAATTTATATTTTCTATATAAAAAATATTAGCATTTCGAGAAGAAAAAAATAATTTATATATTTAAAAAGAGCGAGTAAATGGGAAGTGTGGTATCCAATGTGTAATGTTGTTGCCAGTTCATTATTTGTAAGATTCATAAATAAAATTGGGGAAGTGAGGCAATAAAGTTAGCTTCGCGGGCCCCAACCACCCTGCGCCTGCTACAAAATTGATTGGGCCGAACCAGGCCCGTGGACCATGATAAGGGACAAAAATGACGCGGTGCATGGACCTAAGCTATGACGGACATACAGGAAGTGTGAGAGCAATCATGTTACAAATTTGTAGAGATTGTTTGAATCTGTCCTTATATGTAGAACAGCTACACTTTGGACTTACTAGCTAACCCTCACTCAACCAAGTACGTCCACTGACACAACGGCATTAATTTTGCCTTTTTGTTCGAAACGCAAAGTTATTTTTTGGCTGCTATTTTGTATATGTGCATTTTTTGTAAAACTGTTTTTACAAGACACTCCTTTTTTTAACTGTTTTCAAAGCCTTTTTAATATTGGTTTCTCCGTTACAAACTCCATTGCTGTCAAAGAAAACTTTAAAAACTATCTTTTTAAAAGATATCGGGTAACCAAATGAAGCCATTAATACATCATAGATAGCAAACACATTTCTTATATTGACAAACCACATTAATGATTATTGGTGGATTCTAAGCTCTAGTTACTAGAATAGAAGAAGCAGGTGCAAAAGTGTAAGCAGTAGTACGCCGCTTCCTAGTAGCAGGAAGGGAGGATAGGAATTAGTGTGCTAACCTTCTCCCAAGGCTCCTCGGTTCTTGGAACTACTATAGAAGTATGTTTGACACATAGCAATAAATTAAATAATAGAAGATAAAGAGAGAAAAAGAGAGGCTCTTTGGGTTTTTAAAAGAACCCATTAAACCTTCTTACCTTGAGATCTCCTACAAGCCATTGGAGCATCAAGTTTCAATAAGTCCTCATCAAAGAGAAGGTGGTTAATAAAATCATGCTAAAACATATTTATCTAATTTTAAACTCAAATTGATCCACTTATAATGTACACATCGGTACTCGTAGAAAATATTAATCATTTATGATAAGCCTCAGTCCTGTCTTAAAATGATGGTGATAAATTAATGATTCTTAGAGGTGGATAATTTTTAGTTATTTTTAAAGAGTTTTTTTGGTCGTAAGTACTTGAAACGAGGAAAGACTTTTAGTTTTTAAATGAGGTATAAAATAAAAAACAATAATTTTGATAGTCAAGAAATCAACTTTCTCCTTGTTATTTGATTTACCATTAAAAAATAATCTAAAAATTTAAAAAATATAATAAAAAAAACAAAAAATTGTGCACGAGAGAAAGATGTGGTACGTGAAAGCTTAGCGTATTTGTCTGTTTTGAATGAAATTTCAAGCCTTTAAACAGTGCCCTTAAATGGCCTACTACACTGAAGAAGAGTCTGCGCTCTGACCATTCAAATATTCAATAGGCCCGACATTGAATAAATCTCTTTGTGAGAAACTTAAAAGATCCATTCACTTTATATATACAAGTAATCGTTGGCCACAAAGTTTCTTTCTGGATAAAGATGAGAGGGCACATTCAAATCAATATTAATATGTGGATGACGTCCACAAACATAGCTAAATAATAATAACACTCTCAAATATATATATATATAATATATATATTTATTGACCAGGCATGAAATCTTAAAGGGGCAAAATTCAAATTTGGGACCATCAGAACACCAATTTCAGCAAACTTACAATCGAGTTGAATGTTTCTTAAATACAACTCAACGACACCAATTCCGAACTCAATCCTGACCCAACTAGATCGAGACATATTTGGAAGGATCAAACTAATAAATTTGGATTACCAAACAGTTTCCCAAACATGACATACTTATAGTCGAATCGAGCCGCTCGACGAGACAAATCCAACAAGCCTAAGATTGCCGAATTCTGATATTATTAAGACATTCATATTCCAAATAAATGATCCATGATTGAGGGAATCCACTCGACCATCCATTCAAACTACTTCCAAATTATCCTTGATCTCTCCTATTTAATGGTCATGCAACTCTCAGAAAATTATAATTAGACTCTTCATTCCTCATAAGAGTGACCATCCATTCAAACTACTTCCAAATTATCCTTGATCTCTCCTATTTAATGGTCATGCAACTCTCAGAAAATTATAATTAGACTCTTCATTCCTCATAAGAGTGGGTGGGGGGCAAGGAAGAAGACAAGGAAGAGAATGCAGAGGTTCTCTTGCCACCAGACTCCTCCTCGGCTACCGCCGGACTTCAACCCTCTGTGGGCCGGTCCCATCCGTCCTCATTAGACCGGGCAAAAACCAAAACTTTTTTCATGAAAGAAAAAAAAACCCATGAAAAATTGGTTCAATATTCGCATCACTTTCAAGCCAGCCAAGAATAAGTCAATGAAAGGCCAGGAATTCAAATCAACCAATATTAGAGGTAATAAATCAAAGAGCAAGCCAACTAACCAGCCAAAACCAAATCATATTTCTTCTTCCAAAGCCTCTGCCTTTCCAAATGGAGCCAACCAATCAACCCTCCTTCAAAGAAAAAAAAATATATAAAAATTGATTCCCACACTCCAAAGCTTCTATTTCTTCTCTCAATTAGCAACCTATTCTAATGAACTATCTGTAAAAATCGAAGAGAAATGCCATAAAACTAGACTTAATTATAACAACTGGCATCTCTCTCTTAATAGACAAACTGCATGAGTCATATATCCAATAACTTGGATCATAATCAACTTTAGTTTAGTGTGAATTATCATATTCATATGGGGTGCCCCTTTCGCTGTAAATCATTCATAATACATTATCAGCTCAAGTAATTGATTATTTGAAATAGCTATGCGTCAATGAAATCCATTATACAGGAGAAATTATTCTGCGCGGATACCAGATGGTCTGGAGACCAGCCAGAACGCACCACATCACCTGGTACACAGCATACTGAGCACCGGTACCGAGCAAAGAAAGTGATGTGGTGCGTTCTGATTGGTCTCCGAATGCTGTCCAGGAGCAACATAGAATAAATTTTCCTACTTAAGGCTTATGATCTGAAACTATTTCCTGATTAACAGGTAGATGTTTTCTGGCTACCTACCAAAATGCCTTAGCTTGGAGAGCCAGCAGAGCTCCAGGTAGAAGAAATAATCATTCAAGTCATTGACATAATTCATGAATAATAAAGGGAAGGCTTAGCAATGGCTCTCGATCATCTATTTTAAATTCTACGAAAATCTTATTTAATTATGTAAAATATTATAACTGATATTTTAAATTCTGGTGTAAAAGTTATACATATTATATATGTTAAAGTGTGGAGTCTAATTCGTATCCTCCAAATAAATTTTGTTGAAGATTTCGCTAAGCTTTTCGACTATCTTATTTCAGGCTTTGTTTGAGACGACTTTTTTATTGCTTCCTAATCTTTATAGTAAACAAATTATATTATAGAGCTCCGATATGTTGCGGTGATAATGAGACATCCATTAAAGTGGATGTACCTGTATAAAAAAACTATCCCAAATAAAAAACTTAGATTTTCTCTTAATTTTGTGATTGTTATAAAAATTTAATTTCTTTCTTCAAATATTAAGCAAACTCTTTTACCATCTTATATTTAAAATCTTAATTTTGTCACTCAGAAGAAGAAAAAGGCTTTGGAGTTCGTGAACACCAAAGTACAGTAGGTCACCTACTAATCCTAATTCCTAATACTTGGGAGGATAGGATAAGATAATATTAATATTAAGCCTTATAATTTATAGGCGAATGCCAGCTGATCCAAGTTGTAAAAGTGTCACAGGTCACCTTGAAGACCTAATTAATATTGTAACACGTACTGTGCAACACCTACTGTATTTTTTGGCCTTTAATTTTAATAACCATCTGCACTGTAATGATTTATTGCAACTGTCACTAACAAAAAAATAATACAATCACAGTATGTGTTCTTCATAGTTTCAAGTGAGTGAGTGTTATATGACTATATATATTGGCTAATAATACAATTAATATACAATACTCTTATAATTACATAAGTCTCTAAATTCAAATTCAGACATTATCAAGCTTAATAACTAAATAAATAAATGTTAAGTGAAAATGGTATAAATTAAAATTTACATAAGAACACTATAAGTTTTATTTTTTATGCATAATACAAATGTTTATTTTAAGTTTGAAAAAAATCATCTGATTAGATATGACAAGCATATTTTATATACATTTCTTATGTCTATATATCAAAAATATATGAATAATAAATCAAACACACCTAAAAGATATAATTTTATTATTTTTATTTTTAATGATATGCAACTATATATATATAAATTTGAAACATTTAGTTCAATTAAGACAAACTAACACACATATTAAATATGTAATACTTGAACTCAAGACCTGTTTAAATATGCGCTTTATAAAATATTATTAAACAGGTTGAGCTTGCATCTAAAAAATAATATTAAATATGCGCTTTATAAAATCCTTTATAACATCTCCTTATATAATAATCTTAATTTTATTCATCAAATAAATAAAAATATTATTCTAATTTTTTTTCTAAATACTAAAAACTACTTGACAACCTTTTTATTAATGAAAATGTCATAAGTTTCAAATAAGAATATCAATTCAATCAACAACAAGCGAAAATAAATATTTCCAAAAAAAGAAACAAACGAAAATATCAGCAATAATAATAATAATAATAATAATAAACAGTGTAGATTTGTATTTATTTATTTATTTCTTTTTCTCTTTTGATGGAAACTTCTTCGACGCGGTCCATCGCCCCTCCCATCCCTTTAAAACCCTCCGACCAGGGCGAATTGGAGATGCCAAAGATCGAAGGCAGAGAAGGGGGTTGCAAATTTAAAACTTGCCCCTTTTACAACCCTCTTCTCTGCTTTTTCTTTACTCTGCAAAGAGTCCCCTTTCCTCATCGTCGATTCGATTTGTAGGGGTGCATTTCTGCTGCGGTGAGTAACCTCGCAAGGATTGCCATTGTTTTCATTTCATCTTCCAGTTCAGTTTTCTGGGAGAAAAAAGGTTCTTTTGTTTTCTTTTTCTTTTTGATGAGGATCTTGACCTCGTTTTGTGTTTTTTACCTGAAATTTCTTACCTTTTTCTTTCTGTAAGATCTCGTCTTTCCGCTTTGTTTGTTTTTCTTTTTTACCATTAAACAATCGCGGTTTTTTCCCCTTTCCATTCATATGGTTATTCTCATATTTTCACATTCTTATAAACGTTTGCCCCTTTCTTGCAGCTCCAACAATGGCGGAACCGAAACCAGATGAATCATTACCCAAATCCCCTTCAAGGAGGCTCCCAGATTTCAAGCAATCCGTTAAGCTGAAATATGTAAAGCTTGGCTACCACTACCTAATCACCCATGGCATGTACCTCTTCCTCACTCCATTAGCTGGTATCATCGCCGCCCAAGTCTCCACCTTTTCTCTCCAAGACTTGTATGACCTATGGGATCATCTCCGCTTCAATCTAATATCAGTCATTCTTTGCTCCACGCTCCTTGTCTTCCTCTCCACCCTTTACTTCCTCAGCCGCCCAAAGCCTGTGTACCTTGTCAATTTCGCCTGTTATAAGCCAGATGAAGCTCGAAAATGCCCTCGCCAGATTTTCGTAGATAGGTCTCGGTTGACGGGTTCATTCACTGATGAAAACCTTGAGTTCCAAAAGAAAATCCTTGAAAGATCCGGCCTTGGTGAAACCACTTATCTTCCTGAGGCGGTTATGAATGTTCCACCCAATCCTTCAATGGCTGAGGCCAGGAAGGAGGCTGAGACTGTCATGTTTGGAGCCCTCGACGAGCTCTTTGCAAAGACCAATCTGAAACCAAAGGATGTAGGGATTTTGATTGTGAATTGTAGCCTGTTCAATCCAACCCCTTCCCTCTCTGCGATGATTGTTAACCACTACAAGCTTAGGGGAAATATTGTTAGCTATAATCTCGGTGGGATGGGTTGCAGTGCAGGCTTGATCTCCATTGATCTTGCCAAGCAGCTGCTTCAATCCCATCCCAATTCCTATGCTTTGGTTGTGAGCATGGAGAACATCACCTTGAATTGGTATTTTGGCAATAATCGTTCGATGCTCGTCTCCAATTGCCTTTTTCGCATGGGTGGAGCTGCAATCCTTTTATCAAACAAGAGATCGGACCGAAGGAGATCCAAATACCAGTTGATTCATGCCGTTCGAACGCACAAAGGAGCTGATGATAAGTGCTATACTTGTGTGACTCAGGAAGAAGATGCTACTGGGAAGATTGGAGTCTCTCTCTCAAAGGATCTTATGGCTGTTGCTGGTGATGCTCTGAAGACCAACATCACTACATTGGGTCCTCTAGTCCTCCCCATGTCGGAGCAGCTGCTTTTCTTCGCTACTTTGGTTGGTAGGAAGCTTCTCAAGATGAAGATTAAACCATACATCCCAGATTTCAAGTTGGCATTTGAACATTTCTGCATTCATGCTGGTGGAAGGGCTGTGTTGGATGAGCTGGAGAAGAATTTGCAGCTCTCTGAATGGCACATGGAGCCATCGAGGATGACATTATACCGATTCGGGAATACTTCAAGCAGCTCCCTGTGGTATGAACTGGCTTACACTGAAGCTAAGGGAAGGATTAGAAAGAAGGATAGGATTTGGCAGATTGCATTTGGTTCTGGTTTCAAATGCAATAGTGCCGTTTGGAAGGCTTTGAAGACTGTTAAACCCGAAAAGGAGAAGAACCCATGGATGGATGAAATTGAAAACTTCCCAGTCATAGTTCCAAGGGTAGCAGCAATCAACTGAAGTCTTGATGCAGCTTTAATTATCTCATAATCAGTAATTTCGAAGATTTGGTTGATCATTTATTGTAATCTATTAGTTAGAACATTTGCTCTTTTTTAAGTTGTAGTACAGAAGCTTGCTGATGGAATGGATCACAAGGAATGGTTTCTCTTGTAAGTTTGCTTCTTTTCTTTGCCTCTGGAGAATAAACTAGCTTATTTAGTTAGCTTGTGCTGTTTCTCTGGCAAGTTCACGGAGGCTTAAGAGGGATGGATGTTGACCTTATTTGTTCTATTTGTATTCACAATTCAATTGCTGGGGGCAACTCAGCAATGCATAAGATTGTTTTGTTTTTTGTTTGTGTAATATATATATGTTAGGTGGATCTACGAAATCTGATGCAGGCAAACTCTGCTTCCCGGCCTTGTCGGTTTGCTTTGACAACTAAGCAGTGCTGAATATGCTGACCCACAAGTATATTATAAAGATTCACACTTCGCATCGATTTTCAGAACCAACCATTTTCCTGCAAATATTATCCTTTGTCTTATCCAAAATTTATTGCATTGAGATTTCAGTTTTCTTTTAGAACACATAGATCCAGGACCAGCTCCTGTCCAGCTCCTGGCCTAAAATTAAAATATAATTTATCTTGACAGAAATATATGGACAACCATGTGACTAAAATTAACCTATTCTTATGATTCCTTAAGGCTCTGTCTATGTTTGGTTTGAATTAATTGGCAGAACGTAAATACATTTTACTTTTTACATTGTCATATTCTATAAGATGATGGTGAGACCTACAATGTTTTATGGTGTTGAATGTTGGCCATTAAAAGAGAAGCATAATGCTAAGTTTAGTGTTGCAGAGATGAGGATGCTTAGGTGAATGAGTGGCTTTACCCTTAGAGATAGGATACAAGGAGTAGCTCCAGTGGAAGATGATATTATAGAGAGTTGCCTTAGATGGTTTGGTCACATTAAACGGAGGCCTTCTGATGACCTAGTTAGGAAAGTTGAGGCATTAGATTTGACTTATGTTAAGAAAGGTAGATGTAGACTTAAAAAGACTTGATTATAAATATTAGAAATGATCTTTCTTTATTAGATCTTAATGAAAATTTGACTTTGAATAGGACACAATGACGAAAAAGGATTCATGTAGCCGACCCCACATAGTGGGACAAAGATTTGATGTTGTTATTGTTGTTGTATTGCCATATTGGGTGAATAGTTCTTGTGTATACAACTAAGTAAGAAATCTGAATAAATGTATGTTTTCATGCAACTATAATGAAATTATAGAGGTAATAATGTATGGGTTCTATGGAGAAATTGGGGTATATATCTTATTATTTCCATCATCATTTCCTATTTCCTTTTCATCTCCTTTATTACAATTACCAAACTGATGTTGCTTATTCTTGTAAGATATATACTGTAAGGTTTTGTTTGGTTAGAAGGAATTGGGAGAGAGGAAATGGAAATGGCTAAGAAGTTGCATTGAAAATTTGAAATTGAATATATATTTAGTTTTGTGTCAGTATGTAACAATGAAGGTTTTGGTAACCAAGCCATTGCTCAAGTACAGGTGGCCATGCCATGTATATATATCGGGCTATTAAGAAAAATATTTGGGTCAGATATTCTAATATATATTTGATCCGCATAAATGCTTTGCTCACATTAACGTAATCATATTATAAAAATTTTGATTAACACCAGAAAAGGGAGATATTCCAACCATTGTGCTTCAATCAGAATGAATTATAAAAGTGTTACAACATTTTGCATTGTATAAGCATAAACATACAAAATGACATAAAAATGTAATATAAGATTTGCAATACATGTATATAGCTGGCAGCCTGCCACATGATGGAAAATTAAATATAAATGCCAATTGTCTCAAGTATGAAGCTGCATAATAATTAATAATTTTAGCTTCTTCATCATGAAGCCAAGTAATAGGCATCATCAACAGCAAAGAGCATTAATGCTGAACTTTTTTTTATAAGAATTTAATAAATTCAACATATTAAAAACAAACCCTAAATTTTGATAAATTATTCGACACGTAATATGTCATCTCTTATTGGTACTGAAAGAGAATCACCTATTTTATTATTATTATTATTATTTGAATAATCACCAAACATAGCCAATAATCATGTCTGAAAATAATCAACTAAACAATCTACAACTTGAATCAAAATAACTAATGTAGCTTACATTGATCTGTTAGTTGGGAACTTTGGCTATCAACCAAGAGATTTTGTGATCGAATCTTACGTACATGATGTGTGTGTTTGTTTTAATTGACCTAAATGTCTAAAAAAAAACCCCAAAATAACTTGCTATAATTAACATTATTTCCAATAGGTAAAACATAATACAAATTACAAACTCACAGAATTGATAGAACAGTTGAGAAAATCAAAACATGAGAAACTTGTCCCATCCAGACAGAAACATTTTTTCGATTAGCATTTTTATTTCTCAATTAACTAATAAGAGCAACGTTAAGCCCACATTAAAAAAAAAAGAAAAAAAAATCTAACTTAAAAAAGAAAACATTTTCTCGGACAAAATCATAGAGGTTTGCCGGAAAGCCACCTCTCAAACAAGGCGAAGCACTGTTTCGGCTTGTTACTCGGCGCCGTATGGCTCCCACCCTATACGCAAACAACAATTAATAACAAAATTAAGGAAATAATTATTTCAAATTCCATTTTTAACAAAATTATGGAGATTGTGATGATTATTTTTCTCAATCCATTTTATATAATGCAATAATCCCATCAACTGAAATCCTAAAGGAAAGCATAGAGAAAGCATCTTACCTTAACAGTGGCATAAGTTAGATTCACTGAGTACAACTCGGTATATCTACAGACATTAAGAAAACAATTAAAATAATTAATTATTCATTTAATCATAACTACAAGAATATGCAATAGCTAGCAGACAGATTAATTAACGTTGAACATATAATTAGTAAATAAGAACTCACCCAGCAACTTGGTCATCTACATGCCAAGATCTCCACTTATCCCTAATTGGAAGGTTTAAGGATCTTATCCATTTTGTTGTGCTTAAAAAAGGAACGAGCAAATCATGGTCGCCACTGTCATATGAATTACTAAGGTTAACTTGAAGATAGAGACATCAGAGGTTAATTATATTTAGGAATTTACATTATAGTGTATATGAAGTAAAAGAATAAGCTTCCCTTTCACTAAACAGTGCAGTTGTCAGTGATTATAGTAAAACATTTTCATAAAGTATCTTGACAAAAAAAGATCAAATTAAATCATGCCAACTAAGCAAATTTTTAACTATGAAATTCAAACTTTTTCCAGTTCAAGAATTAATGAAAAATAACCATCAATCTAAAATAAATTGTTAATAGAAATATTAGTGTTGAAATAAGAATTGATTTACAAAAAAATATTGATTATAAATTTAAGCTTTGAGGTTGAGAAAAGTTTGGCCAATGGTGTATCCGCCTTTCGATTTACTCCCTAATAAGTAATCTCACAATTGATGTATTGCTTTTTTTTTTATCACAATTGATGTCTTGTCCAATAGAGATTAAGGCTTCGCTTGGGACGGCTTTTTTAATGCTTTCTAAAACAGAATTTTAGTACAAAATTTTTTATTTTTGTACTAAAACTCCGTTTTAGAAAGCAATAAAAAAGCCGTCCCAAACGAAGCCTAAGGCTTCATTTGGGACGGCTTTTTTACTGCTTCTTATAGAAGCTTTTTAGTATAAAAATTAAAATTTTTATACTAGAAAACTGCTTGAAGAAGCAGTAAAAAAGCTGTCCCAAATGAAGCCTAAGTAGTACATGCGGTCTGTGAATCCAATGGACTTGGTGAACTGTGCATTGGTTAAGTGAGCTTCATGAGTGGATGCCTCCTATAGTGCCTACATGCAATCGAGTGACCTTTTGGTGCTTGATATTTTATGGATTTTAGTTTTAAGGGGAGTGATGTCTAATATAGAGTACTCTACTATGAAGGGATATTATAAATCACAAACCTATATATACTTCAAAAATATGTTAATATAGAAATACCAAGTGATTGTATAACATCCATAAGCTTATGCTTTTAGGTTAAAATTTGATTTAGTAATTAACCCAATTTTGATGCCCATTTTTTTCACACCCACTTATAATGAAACTTCATTAGATGTTGGATGCAATCAAATGTTCTAAAACAAAGGTGTCAAGAAACACAAATGTTGAAGCACACTAGAATCGAGATTCGTGTACTGCAAAAAATAGCACAAAGAAAGAAAATTACTGCAAAAAAAGCGAAATTTTTGTGGTTGGCTTCATACAAACAAATGTACACAGATATGACATAGGTTTTGGTTCACTAACAATATAGAAGCCAAAATTGTGATGTACAAATCAAGAGCAACTCCAATTTTCAATTATACCCGAGGATGGATGAGAAAACTAAGAATCTCATAATATAAATATTAAATTACGCAATTCTTCCTTCTTAACCGCATCATCGAAAACAATAATTCTCCAAAACCCTAAAAAACAAATGTAATTGACTCAAACACAAGATGACTACCTCCTCTCATAGTTGTTGGTCCCTCTTCAAGAAACCCAAGAAGGAAAGTGCACAACCAAAGCCTTTCACAATATTACCAATTCACAAAGATCAAGATGTTAAAGACACAACTCTCGAGTACGACGTGTGGATTGAATTGAAACTAATACATTGTCCATATGCACACAAAATTCTGATCCTGATCAAGTATTCAAATCCCGATTATATTTGCTTAATCACATGCAAGCTTAATAGAAAAACCATATTCTGGCAAAATTCTATTTCTTGCATGGAGGAGTACTTTAGGAGTATGCTTTAATAAGTATTTATTTAATTAATAATTCTTCTCCTTGACTAGATATGGTAGAAAAATTATAATCCCTCTACATCTCCTCTTTAAGACAAACATATTGACTTTCTAAACGCCCAAAAGAATTAGCACTATGCAATCTTAGGCCCCAGCACCTGAACTGAACACTTACAAGAGATCTTCATAATGTAATATTGTTGTGGGCTTCGAAAATTTGAGCCCCGGCTTTGCCTACTTTCGGTGGAGTTTAAACAGAATTAAGTTCTGGGATAAATTTTCAGAAGGAATATTGGATTGTGAATAAGACACACCCAGAGATTTCACCCTCATTTTGTGAGAAGTTTATAATCTATGTTCAGGTTTCCTATAAGCGCAATCCCCTATAGTTAATTATCCCTCCTAATAACAAGGGAGAAAGTTCGATTAGGCTAGTCATCAAACATATTCATAGTATATGGCGTATAGTAGCAGCATGATTTTAGGTATTTGGAACTTAACATTTAAAATTGAAAATTTACCACTTTGCACTTAAACCAAATAGTGGGGGAAGCAATGATAGACCCGATCAAGATCCCATGGTTCTGCGTCCCAAGCTATCATGGTCCCTAATCTACTTAGTCAAAGAAGGTAGTCGGCCCAACCTGATAGAAGGATCCTTATAGATAGCCATGGGTTGCTTCGTCCAAGGGTACATTGTAGACTTAGCGTGAATATTGGCCAAAGGAGATAAATTTAAATCCACATTAGCTAATAGAGGGTTTTATACCCTATCAATCATATCTTGTTGATTCATTACTCAATGATTTAATGTCATTGGGAACATACGATCTTTGACAATGATCGTAATTTAATGGTATCATTTGGGGCAATACCACCGGCTAGAAGACGTGTGCTACATCTTTACTGACAAGAGACAGATTGAAAATGAATCACAGTAATATTCTCCACCAAACATTTACTTTTGTGTAAATAAAAGTGATTTTCGAATTTGTCTACCTTGACAAACTGTTGCAGATGGTGGATGGATATTTTTGTTTTAAGTATTTTGGTGATTAATTTGAATTTTAAATATTTTTGGTCTTGGTGATTTTTAAGTTTTAAGTGACTAGTGATATTAAGAATATTGCAAAAGATGTGTTTGGAGTATCAAAGGGAAAAACTCCTAATTGTAAAAATAGTTGGTGGTGGAATCCAAATGTGCAAGAAAAGATTACGAATAAGAAGATTTGTTATAAAAATTGATTTAATTTTAAAATTTCTGATAATTATTTAATATATAAAGAGGCTTGTAAGGAATCTAAGAAATCAATATGCGATGCAAAGACCTTAACTTTTAGTGATTTATATAATAGATTAGATACTAAGGAGGGAGAAAGATATATGTATAAGTTAGCCAAACAAAGAGATAGGAGTAGTAAGGATTTAGTTCAAGTGAAGTGTATTAAGGATGAAGATCAAAAAATACTTTTCTTAGAAGATGATATTCAACAAAGGTGGATGACATATTTTGCTAAACTTTTTAATGAAAATTGTGAAAATAAGATTGACTATAGTGACCTTAGCACCCTAAATGAAAATAAAGATTTATGTTTTTATCGGCGTATTAGTAAAATCGAAGTTAGCGAAGCTTTAAAGAAAATGAATGGTGGAAAAGCTGTTGGACCTGATGATATTCCAATAGAGGTGTGGAAATGCTTAGGAGATGAAGAAATTTCTTGGCTTACTAAACTTTTTAATATTATTTGGAAGACTAAAAAGATGTCAGTTGAGTGGAAAATGAGTGTGTTAATTCCTATTTTTAAGAATAAAGGTGATGCACAAGATTGTGCGAATTATAGAGGAATTAAGTTAATGTGTCATACTTTAAAACTATGGGAGCGAGTTATGGAGCATAGATTGTGGCGTGATACTAATGTTTCTCAAAATCAATTTGGATTCATGCCGGGTAGGTCAACTATGAAAGTCATATATTTATTAAGAGGTTTGATGGAGAAATATAAAGAAAATAAGGAGGATCTACAAATGATATTTATTGATTTAGAAAAAGCATATGATAAAGTTCCAAGAGAAGTGCTATGGAGAGTTCTTGAAAAGAAAGGAGTTAATAATGCTTATATTCAAATCATTAAAGATATGTATGCAGGAACTATTACTTGTGTTCAAACACAAGGTGGTTTGACTAAGTATTTCCCTATTTCGGTTGGGTTACATCAAGGATTAGCCTTAAGCCCATATCTTTTGCTTTAGTCATGGATGTTCTCACTAGACATTTGCAAGAGGATGTATCTTGGTGTATGCTTTTTGTTGATGATATTCTTCTTGTTTATAAGACTAGAGAGGGAGTTGAAAGTAAACTTGAATTATGAAGGTCAACATTAGAGATTAAAGGTTTTCGCTTGAGTAGATCTAAAACGGAATATATTGAGTGTAATTTTAGTAGTAATAGACCTAGTGAGGGGATTGTGACTTTGGACGATCGAGTCATTAATAAGAATACACGTTTTAGATATCTTGAATCAATTATTCAGAGTGATGGTGAAATAGATGGGGATATTATCAGCAGAATTCAAGTTGGATGGTTGAAGTGGAGGAATGCATCGTGCTTGTTGTGTGATAGAAAAGTATCCCTTAAACTTAAGGAAAAATTCTATAAGATGGTAGTGAGGCCTGCAATGCTTTATGGTGCTGAATGTTGACCATTAAAAGAGAAGCATAATACTAAGTTAATTGTGGCAGAGACGAGGATGCTCAGGTGGATGAGTGGCTTTACCCTTAGAGATTGGATACGAAATGAGTATATACGTGAAAAGGTTGGAGTAGCTCCAGTAGAAGATAAGATTCGAGAGAGTCGCCTTATATGGTTTGGTCACATAAAATGACGGCCTTTCAATGACCCGGTTAGGAGAGTAGAGGTATTAGATTTGACTTATGTTAAGAAAGGTAGAGACAGACCTAAAAAGACTTGGTTAGAAAATATTAGGAATGACCTTTCTTTATTAGATTTAAACGAGAATTTGACCTTTAATATGACACAATGGAGAAAAAAGGATTCATTTAGCCGAGCCCACGTAGTGGGATAAAGGCTTGATGTTGTTGTTGTTGGTGGTGGTGGTGATTTTCAAGTTTTGTATTTTCATGAGAATTTAGAGGCATTTTAAATGTTTGTGGTCCCATCCGATTGAGATTTTCTGTCAACACGGCCATCATCGGGGTTTTTATGGCACTCTCATTCTGTTGGTCGAACC